CATTGCCCACAACGGGGGGCCTTTGGCATGACTGGGAGGAGGGTTTCCCCATCTCTAACTCCAGCGTTAACTTGTGCCCTTTCTTGGGTCCCCGGCCCCCGAATGTGCATATTGGACTTTTAGAGCCAGTCCTCATTCAGCTCTGGGAATCCCCCAGGTCTGGTCTGAGAGTATCGAACCTCTTGGGGGAGGCCTGGCTGCGAATGGCCGGAGGGAAACTTCTCCCCGAGCAGCTGCATGTACCTTCTCTGCAGAGGTCTTGGCATTTGTTTTTGAGTTCTCCAGGCTTTCTTTTTTTCTTTTTTTTACCCAGCATTTCATCTTCTTTGTCACGGTCAGAATGTCACTTCACTGTCCTTTGCTTCTCACTGCCCCGGGCAGTTCTCTTCCTCCTAACTAGCCGCTTAGACCCTTGGGTTTGGAGTGCTCTCAAGGTAACCTGGTGGGGGGGAGGGAGGGCAGGAGGGGCTTTTTCTAAGAAAAAAGCACATAAGCTTTGGCCTCTGTGCCGGAGCCACCCATTCCAGCCGATCAGTGAGCGTTCAATTGTTTGTTCTTTTACTCACAGGCTGTGGAGACGGAAGGTTATGTTTTGATGTGGGAGAGATCACTTCAGGCCTTTCTTTGTACCTTCCCCGAGAGCTTGAGAAATACTTGCTTAATGGGACGTATGAAGACTTTGTCTCCTCGTCCCGGGTGGGGACAGGGAGACAGAACCGCAGCAGTGGCCGCCGCCACAACAGCAGCAGCAGGATGGGAGCCCACTGCTGACAAAGTGTCTGGCCTCAAATGACACGATAGCAGAGCCCGGGCACAGAATTAGCAGTGGTGTTCTGTGTATGAGGAGCCGGAGAAATGCCCACATTCAGCAGAACCACGGCAGGGACAGAAGAATGGGTGGGGAGAAGGGAAGGCCCGCCCTGGGCCTGGGCGCTTCCCTGGATAACCTTGTGCTGCTTGGTGGCTGAGTCAGAGCCCTGGGAGGCTCTCTGGGGTCGAGGCGGCGTGGATGGCAAGGCAAGACCTCAAGAAACCTGGGAAGGTGAACTGGAGAGCTTGCCCTGCCCAATACACACACACCGAAAACTATAAACACGAATACGGAATTCCCCTGTGTCTAGGCACATTTGCATTTTTCTCGTGAATTCTTACTACAACCCCAGTTGGTAAGCCTATTGTTCAAATGGTCAAGAAAGGGGCAGGAGGGGCACGTGAACTTGGCATGAATGTGTTCATGCGGATGCCCCTTGTGTGCCACCTTGGATTTGAGCATCCGAGTACGGCCTCTCGTACACACGGGCCACCACCTGCGCACAAGGAGGGCTCCCGTGGAGACGCGGCACAAACACACCCACACTGCCCCACACAAGTGTGTGTCTTTATAGACACGTCACTGTGGAAAAGAAAGGGGCCGCATATTAAAACCAGCAAGCTCAGGGGGGCCTGCCGGGTGGGCAGCCACAGCGCGGCCCTGCAGTAGCGTCCTGGACAGAAGCCGGTCTTTACCGTAAGTGAGGCTGTCTGTTTGCATCTAAGGTAACAGCCCTTTGGAAAGCAGCGCCCCCTCCTTCTGCAGACCTCTCTCCGAGTGGAGGCCACAGGACCCCTCAGTGCTGTCTGGTTCCCAAAATACCCTCCCTGTGCGCTGTAAACCTCTATCATTAACTGTCTCGTCCCCACCGATGCAGAAGAAGTGTGCGTTTCTCCATTTGACTTTTTACCCAACGCCAGAGACTCCCCCGCTTTGCCTTTGCCCACCCCCTTAACCCACCACCGGTGGGTTTCATGGGCCCTTCCGTCTCCTCCTCTGCGTCTAAGGTGCAGAGTCAGCTGCAGAACTGCCAGTCTCTGACGCATTTTCTCAGTCCGTTGAGATTTTGCTTCCTGGCAACTGTGGTCCATTTTGGGCTCGGATAAGCTCATCAAAATCCACTGCAGGTTTGGCCATTTCTTACACTGACATTTGTGTATAACAGCACATGCCTTTGAGTATATGTGTGTGGCAACACACGCCATCATGTGCCGGGGGGGGCACCACAGTGTTTTGCAAAAACTGGTGTCACTTCTGGCCTTTGTGACCAACTGTAGGCCAGCATCCTTGTCTCTGACCATGGCAAGGTGCTCGTACCTCCTGGTACCTACCTGTCACTGCTGCCATGGTCAATCCTGCCTGTTACCCTCACCAAAGGGTTTCATCCTCAGACTAGCAGCCCCGAGCTGCCAGTGCCTGGATCAGAGTCCTTTCTAAGATTTCCGGGTCTTCAGGCGGCTAAGCTGGGCTTCCCAGGCCAGGCATTCTTTGCAGGATGGGCGATTTGGGGCTAGGGGCCCGTGCAGGCTCGTGGACTCCAGACGTCGTGATGTGACGCCTCGCCTTGGGAGTTCTGCCCCCGGTGGCGAGCTTGGATCTGGGCCCCACTAGTGCAAGCTGTAGGCTTCGGGCTCTGATCCGGGGCCGTACTCCCCCTTCCTCCCGAGGCCTGGGAGGGAGCATCTCAACCCCTGCAGCGACCCGGGCTGACAGCTGAGAAGTCCGCTCCTCTAATCAGTCCTGACACTGGCTTCGTGCTGGGAGCTCAGCTCTGACCTCCTGCCAGTGCACCAGGACCATAGCTGGACAGAGACATGGACTAGCATTGAAATCTTGGCCCCGACAGCCGTGGTTTTCCCATGGGGTGTGGCGCTCCTGCTTCTCTTACTGGTGTAGGTTCCTCCTCTCTTAAAACCTGGAAATTGTGTTCTCCGGCCTTTGACCTGGGTTCTGTATGTTTAAAATACTGAAAAATATATTACCCAGCATATTTTACGTGGCTGGAGGAGGATGGGCAATTTCGACTTGGGTTTGGCCTGCCATCTGAACTCATCTCCGCGTTCCAAGTGTGCCGCGGACCAGCCTCGTCAGGAGAGGGGAGGGGGCGGAAATGAGTTAAGGACGCAGGGAGTCAGGTTGGAGAGGTCTCAGCATCCCGCTGAGCCCCGAACTCCGTTTATTCAAGGCTTTTATTACAATTTTGGGGAATAAGCAGGAGGGGGCTGTACCCAAGCCAGTTTCTTTGTCCTTTCTGCAAAGTTACTCTACGGAACAACAGGGGAACACAGGGTGCTATCAAAACTTCTCTGTTTATCAAGCACCGGTGCATGACCTACCCTTCTACAGGGAAACAGGCTGTCTAGCTTTCTTGGGAGACCTATTGTCTAGCCACAGCAGGTTCCAGGCAGGGAGCCAAGCAAGGTGGAGAGGAACTGTGCCACGGGCCGCGGTCTTGCCAGCTGACCCTGGCCCCCCGGCTTTGCCAAGGGGGGCTTACGGTCACGTCTCCACGAGCAGTAGCTATGCCGGCCTGACCCCCAGGCTTTGCCAAGGGGGCTAGTGGCGCCCACACAAGTGTCGCCGAGTAAGTGGTTGTTGGGTGGGTCTCTCTCCTTTCTTGTCCCCTGCTCTGCCTTTCCCCAGCTCTGCTCTGCCCTCCCCTCCTGGGGAGCCCAAGAAGGAGCTTGGTTCAGAGGAAGCTCTGGCCCCGACTGCCTGGATGAGGAGAGAGACACGTTCTTCGGTTTGGGCTGCGGGGCTGGGCCCAGAGCATGTTTTCTCCTGGGGACTTTGCTCCACCCTGAGCCCTGTTTGGGGCAGCAGGTCCCTTGGGGTGACAGAGAAGAGGTTCAGATGAAGGGCTTGAGGCTGCCAGCTGCTCTCCATTCTCGGAGCCAGACAGCCCTTGGGATCCTGAGGATGGCTCCTGTCCCCAGTCCTTTTGTCTGGGAGATGACAAAGGGTCTGCAGTGGGAGACCCTGGCTCCAGGCTCCACCCGGCTGACTCTGTCCCCACAGACGCCTGTCCCAGTGCTGGGGGTGCTATGGCAGCCTGCATTGGGGGGCTGAGGGAGTCAGAAGGGCCCATCCTGTGACTCATTGATGACGGGGCACAGCTGCGCCCTTGTCTCCACCCTTTCTGCTGTCTTTCTGCTGTGCATCTGTAGTGCTTGAGTGAGTGTGAATGTGAGTGAGTGTGAATGTGAGTGTGTGTGTGGCTGGGGACTTTGCAGAGAGCTCCCTGCAGCACCCAATAGCCTGGGAGGCTGTTGTTAAACATATAAATATGCAGATGAGTATGAAATGACAGCAGTTCCAACGGCTCCAAAGAGCAAGTACAGGGATGTGGGGAGAACAGCACAGGGAGCGCCTTCATTCACAGAGCCGGGAAAGGCAGGCCTCGCTAGAGAGGGCACTTCCTAACTGAGCCCCAGAGGAGCCGGGGAAGAACATTCCAGCAGAGGAAGAGTGTGCTCGAGGGCTCTGAGGGGCGGACATCTTAGAGCAATCTGGAAACGGGAGGGAGGCCAGTGTGGGAAGGGGCAGCGTGGGGGAGGGGCTGGGGAAGCCAGCGGGACCTTGAGAGCTTCAGAGGGAGGCAGGGCTGGGCTTGGACTTTCTTCTGAGTGCAGGGTGAGCAGTGGGGGAGTTTCAGCACAGAAGGTGTGATTAGGTTTGTAACAGGCGCTCGCTCTGGTTAGCAGCCCTGCAGAGAGGGTGGGCTGTACCAGTCCCGTGTAGGTCCAATGAGGAAGGTACAGGCAGGGCTCCAGGGGAAGGTGGAGCATAAGCCGACCTTTGCACTCTACTACGACAGAAGAGCCCTACCTGTTGGGGGAACCAGGGAGGCTTCCTGAAAGAGGTGGCATTTGAGCTGCGCTTGGGTGGTGGCGTGGTGGAGCCCAGCACTCCAAGCCTAGGGACGCCCTTTGGCAAGGGCTCAGCAGTGAGGCTGCACAGGTTGGGTTTGGTGAGTCACAAGGCCCCTTAGTGGCTGAGCCAGCACTGAGACCCTGTCTCTGATGCCCACCTGAGGCCTGGTACCAAGAATGGGCATTGAGGAAGTCCCCAAATCCCCCAGGTCAGCAGGTTCCTGCAAATCTGACCTCTGAGGGGGTGCGTCTCCCTGATTGCAGCACAGCTGGGGGATGGGGAAGAGGAAGTGTGGGCCACTGGCTAGACCCAGAGAGCCAGGAGGAGGGGCCTCTTCGAGAGCTGAGAGAAGCAGGGGCAGCACCTCCCCAAAGGCGGTTCCCGCGGACCCCTGAGACCACGGCCCAGACGCAGGGTGGCTGGAGGGAAGTGAGAGGTGAACCCAGCCTGGCCTGGCTGGCTGGCTGAGGCCCTCTGTCCCCCACTTTCCTGGACTGCTGAGGGCAATGGCTGTGGCCCAGCAGCTGCGGGCTAAGAGGTGAGTGCATGGTGCTGCCCTCCCAGGCGTCCCCACTGTTCCCAGCAGGCCTCAGGGGACAGAGGCTGGTCCTCCTGCCACCCCCCTTATTAATATCAAAAGTGGAGAGGCTGGGGCTGAGTCAGAACCCAAATACTCAGAAGTGCAGACTCTTGGAACCATTTTAAGAAAATTAAGTTGTGATTCACCTCCCTCAGGCACAGATAAAGACTCAAGGCTCAGAAATGGGCAGTGACTGTCCCAGGGTCACACAGGAATGGGTGGCAGAGTCTAGATGGGATTGCAGGTGATCTGTCTCCCTGACTGGGCTCACTGCTCCACACCATAGTCAGTGATGGCTTTCTATCTTTTGTTCAGATGGAATGCAGAACACTGCTTGTTTTCCCTCATTATCCAGAGCGAGGTCCAAATGTCACCTCCTCCAAGAAGCCTTCCCTGACTAACCCCTCACTGTTCTCTGACCCCTTGCCCTATTTCTTTTTTCTGTACAGCCCTTGTGTTACTGTCATAACCTTCTAGATTCAGTCATTTGTTTTCTTTATCACAGGCTCCGCCTTTAGAACAGAGTTTGACGAGGGCACAGTATTTGTCTCTTTGAATCACTGTCACATCCCTCAGATGTAGGACAATGCTGGCACAGACTAAATGCTCAGTAAATGCTGCTGAATGGATAAATGAGTGGATCTTTGGGTGGGAAAATGTCCATAGACCCTTCTTGTCCAATCCTGTTGTCATACAGATGAGAAAACAGGGGCCCAGGGAGAAGAGAGGACCTCCCCAGGGCACAGGCAGCAAGCGGCAAGGCCTGCACTCGGAGCGCAGCCTCTTGGGGCTGAGGCTCATCTCAGGGGCGTGTCCGAAGGCTCCCTCAGTAGCCAGGCCTGTGCTGCAGCCTCCGGGGGCTGGAGGACTCAGGGCTTGGCGCCTGCCTTCCAGCATTGGGGCAGCGGGTAAAGTCAAAAGCAGAGTGAGCTGACAGTGAGGAGGGGACTCAGAGGGTCGCTGGAGATGGTCAGGCTGGTCTGGACCGAAGCGGGCAGCGAAGGGCCTGTGGTGGAACTGGCTGGAAATGGGGCCCGGAGTGGGATTTCTGAAGCTCGAATGGCAAAAGGAAGGCAGGTCTGTGTGTGTGTTCAGGAAGGGGTGGGAGGAGCCCATGCTTACAGGACAGATCACAAATGGCCTCGGTGATGAGCAACAGAGGCTGGTGCTGGGGCACTGAGTGGGGTTGTCCCCACCAGATTCCAGCCCCTCTTCCCCACAAGTTCTCGTTGTCAGCTGGGTCTGACATGCAAACTTGAACCTGCAGGAAACAGCTGCTGCGAGAGGCTGGTGGCACTTCCTGTTTCTCAGGGTCCGTGGGTCAGAGAGAGGATTCCAAGAGCTGGCCGGGCAACTGTGTGTCCCTCCCTCTCACTCCCTGGTACTTTTGGTCTGCCCTTGCCCCTCAGAGGAGGATGGCTGCCCCCTGTATCCCTTCATGGGAACCCCGAGCCAGGTCCCGGGGTCTCTGGCCTCCCTGTCCCTTGGAAACCTTATTCAAAAGCAGGCCCTACATTCGTTCTGTTCGAGGCCGAAGCAGAGGATCCAATGGGCGGGCGACAGAGTCCCACGGCTGGACTTCCTGAGACCCAAGTGGCCTGAGGCTGGAAAGGACTACTCAGGGGTAGTGTGTTTAGTTCCAACAAACAGGGTTTGAGCACCTACTGTGTGCAGGAACCACAAAACCTGAACCAGCTGCCACCTAAGGGTCTTTCCAACTTTCGGCCTCGCCTGCCCAAGCTCCCAGGTGGACTGTGCGTGACTGTGTGAGCCCTGAGCGTCCTGGCCTGCGGGGACCCTGAGCTGGCTTCAGCTCTGAGGGGCCCTGGCTCAGTCTCCAGGGGAATGGTTATTCTAGGGGGACAGCTGGTGGGGGTCGCTGCACCCCTGTCCCACCCAGCAGGCAACCAGACCATCCCCATACTTCCCACCAGGGGACTTGTTAAAACACAGACACAGCGGTGGCCCTTGCTGAGCCCCTACTATGCACCTGGCACAGTTCTGGGTGCTTGGGGATGAGTCTTCCCAAGGTCCCTGCTGGCAACGGCAGAGCCGGGGATTGGAGTCCCCTCTTCCACCTGTACCACCTGTACCTGACGCCCTCTCATGATGGCCCCTTCTCCACCCCCGCCACCCCAGGGCAAGGTACAAGGGTCGTTCACAAGTGAGTAGGCCCCGCTGGTCTCACTCGTTCCTCTCTCACTGCTTTGTCCCTCTAGCTCTGTGCTCAGATGCACTCAGAAGACCCCTTCCCACCACTGCAGATCCTTGAACTTGGCCCCTCTTGCAAGGCCAGGGCCTTTGGCACTCCATGTGTCCTTTGCTTGACGTCCTTGTAGCAGCTCCTCTTTTTGCCCCGCTGACCTGGTGCTGCTTCCTCTGGGAAGCCCTCCCTGACCACTCTCAGTGTGAGTGCGCCCAGCCCTCGTCCTTGCACAGCACTCCTGCTTTTCTCTCCCGTGCATGTGACCCCCGTCCCAGAAGTGTCTGCTTGCCCAGCTCTCTTGCCCGCTGCTGCACACTGATTCTCTGAGGGGCTAGACTAACGGTCAGCTTCCGCTGCAGCTCAGAACACCGTGCACTTTTCCTGTATAGCATCTGTGCCCATTGAAGCCATGTCACCATTTGTTTAGTGACTGGCTTCTCCACTGGGCCGTGAGATTCAGGCAGGCAGGGGCCGCATCCCAGCGTGCTCAGAACAGTAAGCTACAGCAGGTACCTACGAGGGTTTGCTGTTATTATTACTTCAGGTGGGAACCTGAGGCTGGGAAGGGCTGGGTCTTATCTAAGTTTGGGCTTCAAACCAGGGCCAGCCCAGCCTCTCGACCTACTTGGGCAAGCATATTAAACACTCTGTGCCTCAGTGAGCACTCAGGAAATAGTGAGCCGTGGTAACTATTACCCAACTTGCCCAATTCCCTGCTCAAGGCCTCATTACCCCTCTGGTTCTTTCCTGCCCCACCCCAGTCATATTACAGAGGAAATACCCATGAAAGGCACAGCCTCAGGGGAGAATGTGGAGGAGGAAGCCTTTCCCAAGGGTGTTACCACAAGGGCATGTGTGGAAAGTGAGTGGGGAGGTCGGTTGCCAGTGTCTACCAACTCTGGGTGTGGTGGAGATTTCCTCTGCCTGCCCTCTGCCACCCTGAGTCACCTCCCAGTGGCAGCCTCCTGCATCCGGCAGTAGGCCGAGACCCCGAGCAGCCCAGGTCACACGGGGAAGCAGCAGGGGCTGAGACGGGCTGTGCAGACTTGGAAACCAGTATCTCCTGAAGTCCCCGATCAGATCAGAGGCTCCGGCCATGGCAGCCCCTGCCCCCAGCGCCCGCCCTGTTTCCCAGTTGCTGCAGTAGCAGAGTCGTAATTGCTACTAATTTCCTTATGTGTCCGCAAGTGGCTGGACTGGGCGGCTGCTTCCATTTCCTTGGCTGTCCGAGTGCTCTTCCTCCACCTGTGTCTCTCAGCCCCTCCCTCTGCTCACTGCTCTTCTCTGGGGGTCTTAACCATGGCCACGGGCAGATGGTTCTCACGTCGCCCACTGCCACTCAGAGGCCCCAACCAGCTCCAGAGCCGCACACCAGCTCTTGCCGGACCTCGACCCACGTGCCTGAGAAGCCTCCCAAACTGGCCTGCGGGAGTCTGTGTCCACCCACTCTGCTCCCCAGCCACCCACCCACCCACCCTCAGGAACAGCCAGCAAACTGGCAGTGTGTCTGTTGGAGATGCATACGGCTGCAGGGGACAGAGGAACTGATGTTAGTATAAACAAACAGGGGTTTAATTTTTCGAATAACAAGAAGTCCAGGGTCCACAGCTGGTTCTGCGGCTCAGTGACTTTGGGACCAGTGTCGCAGAGCTTCCTTCGGTCTTCCACATGTTTTTGCCTCATGGATACAAGGTGGCTGCTGCAGGTCCAGACGTCATACCTGCTTTCAAGGCAGGCAGAGGGCAGAAGGGAGGAGACCGTGCTAGCTCTATCCATGTCTCTAGATCAGGAATGCAAACCCTCTCCCTTGCACGGCTCAGAGAGCGTGGGGTGGCCCTCGGCCCTGCATGGCCCTGCAGGAGCTCGGGGGTGCTTCTGGGAGGAGTGGTCGCCAGCACGGGACACTAGGAAAGTGGTCACTGCGGGCGGACCGGGGCTATGCAGCTGGTTTCTGCCCTTTGCCACTGCCACCAGGCTGGCTTCCTGGCTTGGGTAGGCCACAGTGTCTGACCCGGGTTCCGTGCCCCTGAGGCATGGGCGTGGTGGGAGGTTTTGGGGTCCTTTACTGCCTGTCCACCTCAAGTCTGAATCCCAGGGCCCGAGAGGCCGGCGAGCATGGAGAACTACCTGCCGGACTCCCTGGGTCTCACCTGTGGGCACACTGATGATTGGTGAGCCAAGAAATAGAAAGTTTCAAAAAGGAGAAGGAAAGGATGAGAAAAGTACACTGATGCGGTTGACAGAAACGCCTGTCCGTGGAGAAGGTTCCATGAGAGACAGGCAGAGGATGAAGAGCTGAGGGAAAGGGCGGAAGCAAAGGACCCTGACCACAGGCACAGCTCCACGCCCGCACTGGAGTCTGCCCCCCTGCCCACAAAAGCAGGTGCCAGCGGGGACGTGCGTGGCACTGATGATGGCATCAGGCTAGCACAGCTCCAGGGGTCATCACACGTGCATGGTGGCTCAGGAAATGCAGGCGTGCCAGCTGCTTAAATCCCCCTTGCATGCAAGAGGTGTGCCCGCCCAAGTGATAACCCGGAGACGGGGAGAGGTCACCGCTGGCCAGTTGGAGCTGGCGCACCACGAGGGTCGCCAGTTTCCTATTACCCACCAGGGCCAGCACGTCGGGGAAGAGGACTTTCCGGGCCCAGAGCAAGAGGTGGTTTCCCCAACTGGCCACAGACCTCGGCTGCCACCCCCAACACAGGAGTCCTATGGAGTGTATGGCCCTGAGGTCGGATACGCCAGCACCGATGATGGCCAGGGTTATGGTTCCTGTGCCAACAGCTGCAGCACCCAGCTGGGAGGTGTGTTGGTTACTACAACTGTGGATGGCACTCAGTGATGAGACGTACGATTCCTGTGGGCAGAGGAGTGGGCTGACTCAAGACACCAGGCACCACCAGCCAGGACGGCGAAGGGGCATCTACAGAGACGAGCCACGTGGCTGGTAGGGAGTGTGCTGCTATAGTTATAAGACGGCCAGTCTCTGCCAGCCCGGGGCTCCTATACTGTTCAAAGCATTTTTTTCTATAAAGAATCCCTTTTTAAATAAATCAAAATGCTTAAAATCTGAGTGGATGGAACTTAACACTACTTTGTGGAAACATCAGCCTGGGCAGAAAGAAAAAAAAGAGGTAAAATTTTGTTAATTCCAGTCTGTATATGGAAAAAGAAAAAGTTATCAAAAGGGAAAAAATAACTTTGATTAACTAGTGTTAAACAAAAAAATAGGTTTACCAAATATGTTCATTCATCCTTTAACACAAGCCTCACCTTTCATTTTAAAGGTTTCCATAGAATTTGGTTATTTTACCTTTCTGCCACATGCTAGCTCTTTTTTTTCTCTTGCTAACCTGCATAAAAAGGGAAGCCAATTACAAGTGCAAATAATGTGGTATTCTTTTGAAACTCAAATCTTGAAATGTTCTGTAGCATTAGGCAGTTTCCTCTTGCTTGATACTAAATAAACTTTTGAAAGAAAAAGAAAAATAACACTCTGAGAGGCCCCTGTGCAGATTCCTTCTTAGGTCTCATTGGCCAAATTGGTCACATGGCTGTTCTTAGCTGCAAGAGAGTCTGGGAGACAGGAATGGGACCCTTATGTTTGGCATAGCCCAATCATGGTCCATCACCTTGGAGCTAGGCCTCTTGCCATTGTCAACAAAATTGGAGCCTGACTAGCAGGAAGAAGCACAACATAACAAATGAAACAGTGTTTGCTAACAGTGGTATCCCTGTTCCTGTCCTTTCCTCCTGTCACTGCCTGTTCTCTGTCATCACATCATCTCTTGCCTGGAGCGCCAGTGGTACACTTTCCCTTCAAGCCTCTGCCCTCTTTTCCTTCTCCACCCAGCTGCCTGTGGTGGCCTCCTAAAGCTGGGGTTGTATTGTTTTCACTCTCTTCCAAAGGCTTGTGTAGCTCCCTGTAGCCTACAGAACTTCCTTAGCTCAGCACCAGAGACCTTCCTTTGCCTGGCCTCATCTGCCTGCTCAGTCTCCTGACTATTCCTCAGGCCTCAGAACCTTAGCATATGCTGTTCCCTCTGCCCAGAAGGCCTTCCCTGCATGTCCTACCTGGAGGATTCCAGGCTCAAATGTTACCTCCCCTGTGACCTCTCCCCAGCCTGGGCACAATTAGCCATTCTCTCGGTGGAGCATGTGTTGTTGGCCTTGTTCACCCTGGTGACCTGGGTCCAAGAGCAGGGTCCGAGGCAGAGGATGTGCTTGAAGTGCCGGTCCTGGCCGGGCCATTCAGTCGCAGACGACGTTAGACTGTCACACGCATGGCTGTCGATCTGTGGTCGCATCACCAGATGCCTGCACTCTGAGTTCTGACCCGTGTGTGCTGGCCTGGCCCGGGAAGGGGTGTTGAATGAGGGATGCCAGACACAGCCTGGGCTCTCGGTGCTCACCACTTCATGTCCGGCGGGACCTCCAGAAAAGATCGGGGCGATAACCAGGGCGTCTTTCCTGCCTGCCTTCCTCAGCGACTTTCAACAGCTTCCTGATGACGTCGCCATCTCAGCCAACATCGCCGACATCGAGGAGAAGAGGGGCTTCACCAGCCACTTTGTAAGACACGTCCCTGGACCTTCCCCTCTCCCATCTCTTAACTTCCCCCCAGCGGTTCTCAGCAGGGCGGGTCTGTCCTCCAGGGCACAGTGGCAGCGTGTACCTTCAGGCATTTTTTATTATTCCCCCCTGGGGCAGGAGTGCCACGGGCACCCAGGGGGCGGAGGCCCAGGAGGCTGCCTCACGGGCTGCATGCCCAGGACTGTCCCCAGCAAGGCCTGTGCTGCTGAGGCTGAGAAACCCTGTTTAACCCTTGGCCCTCGGGACATCCTGCTCTCTGTTCCTGGCTTCCGAGGTCCTACCCCTGGCCTCTGTCCTAGGTTTTTGTCATCGAGGTGAAGACAAAAGGGGGCTCCAAGTACCTCATCTACCGCCGCTACCGCCAGTTCTACGCCTTGCAGAGCAAGCTGGAGGAGCGGTACGGGCCGGACAGCAAGAGCAGCCCCTTGACCTGTAGCCTGCCCACCCTCCCAGGTAGGCCGGTCCCAGTCCTGCTGTGGGCAGAGTGGACGAAACTGTCCATGGGCTCTTCTGCCAGCTCTGCTGACGCGGTTCAGCCGGTCAACCCCAACCCATGTTAAAAGCGCCCACTGAGTCCATGCCCCCCCTCCCGGCAGTCATGGGCCACCTTCTCACTCTCCTGCCTCATAGGTCTTGACTTCCCATGGCCCACTGATCTTTAATGCGTCCACCATCCACAGCGACCGTGGCCATGGTGTGGGGCACGTGAGCACCGGCCTCTGCCCCTGAGTCAGGCCTTTCCAGCTCTCCCTTGGGCCACTCCGTGAAAACCGCCCTCTACCTCTGCGGTCCTGGCCCCCCCAGCCCCACAGGCCCCGCTTCCCCATTCTGCTGGGAGCTTGTGTGCGTCACACCTGTGCTTCTGAACAGTCCCACCACCTGTTGCCCCCTGGCCTTCCCGCCCAACTCGAGCCTAACCCACACCTTGGACAGGCCTGAACCTCCCACCTCTCAGTCCTGCCCACTTGAGCCCTGTGGGAGAGACCCCCACCCCCGTGCTCCTGAGGTCCCTCCAGGCCCTGCAGCTGCATGCGAGCATCCATCCTCCAGACCCAGAGCTCTTCCTGCCCTTCCCTTCTTCAAGCTCAAGCTCAAACTCCACGTCTACCAGCTCTTACTTCCTCTGTCTGGGCAGATGCCGTGGTTCCTCCTCACCCAGCTCCAGGAGAGGCTGACGCCACTGGCCCCTAGTGGCTCCTGGCTTCTTTTGTCCTTCTTGGGAGCTGGATTTGCTTGCACCGTCTGCTTCCCCCTCTCTGGGCTGCAGAGGAAGGAGGGTCTCTCCTGCTTTCATCCGACGCCCCCTCCCTTCGGGGGTTCCTCCGACAGCTTGTCCTGCGTGCTCTCTGTGCACTTTCTCCTTTTTGCCTCGACTCTACCACATTTCTACGCAGGCTCAGCCCTTTTCCATCTCTGAATAAACATGGGCCACGGGTGAGCATCTGTGCAGCCGGCCCCTGGAGCCCAGGAGCCCTCAGAGCTCCTCTTTCCTTCCTTTCACAGTAAATCTTCCCTCCCTCTCTCCCCTTCTCATCTCCCACCTCCTCCCCGACCCACCGCCTGGGTCTCAGCTCTTCCCTTCCCACTGCACTGCGCTCCTCGTGACCTGTTAACACTGACGCCGCTCAGGCCTCATCTTCCTGTCTGGCCTCCTCTTCCAGGAAGCCCTCTCCAAGCTTCTGTCACAGCGGCGCCTGCCGGTCCCCCTGCTGCCTCACCTGTGCCTCCTCCAATGTCTCCTTATAGATCCCTGGCTTTGGTCGGATGGGGGGTCTCTGGGTGGGTGGTCCTACCAGAGCCCCACCCGAGGGTCCCGGAGAGGACATTTGTCTCTGGTCGGCCACCCCTCACACTCCAACCCGCACTGTTTCCCTCCACCCTCCCCCAAACACTCCATCTTGCTTTTAAAGAAAGATTCATTCATCCACTCAACAAGTATTGGTTGGTTTGGGCAACATTCTAGACCCGTGGTTCCTAATTTTGGCGGCGTATTGGAAGTCATGCGATATTTCAGACACCCTGATGCCCGAGGCCCACCCCCCGCCGTTCTGATCCGATTGCTCTGGAGTGAGTCCAACACAGCGGGGGTTTTGAGGCTCCTTGGGCGACTTGAACGTGTGGCCACGGTGAAGGGACCCAGCTGTGAGCAAAGCAGAGATCCTGCCCTTTTGGGGCTAAGAATCCCGTGTGTGCGGGGACGGGGGTGCAGTTAGGCAACTCAGGGACAACCCAAACAAGGAAAACATGGAGCGCATGTGGGTGGGGGGGATGGTGCACGGTGGAAACGTGAGGGGAGGAGCCCGGACCAGTGGGGAGGACACGCTTTGCTTCTCCTCAGCCAAAGTCTATGTGGGTGTGAAACAGGAGATCGCTGAGATGCGGATACCTGCCCTCAACGCCTACATGAAGGTAAGGGGGGGGGCCCAGGGACCCCCTCTGAGCACAGCTTTGGGACCTGGGGCTGGTTCTCCTGCTCTGATGGACTGCACCTTCAGTCCTTAAATGCCTGGCCTGGGGGGAGAAGCCAGATGTGTTCTCAGGGTTCTAGGGCAGGAGTGGGACAGGGGGAGGGCACAGGAACAATGCTTTGAATCAACAAATACACTGTCAGTGCCTGGCGTTCCAACACAGCAGTGAATGGGACCTGGTGCCTGCCCAGAGGGAATGGTCAGGTGGGTCACAACATCACAAAGAGACTTGGCCTATATAGCAGGGGCACGATGGACCAGGGCCCCAGCTCTGTCACACAGCGCCTTTGCAGGAACTAGAGAAAGGTCCCCTTGTCAGGGTGCAGGCTGGATATTAGTTGCATCCATGAGGGTTGGCTTGGTGCCCTTCTATGTTCCCCAACTTACAAATTTCTGCATCCTTAGGAGGTGGAGGAGACTGAGGTAGGAGCATCTTAAAAGCAGAAGCCAGATTGGTCAGAAAAGGCATTTCATCAAACAGAGCTAGGTCAGAAAGGGACAATGGTCCTTGTGTGGTAGTGAGCACCCCATCATTAGAGGCATACAAGCCATGGCTTGCTGGCAACCTCAAGAAACTGGAGAAGGCCCTGGCTGGTGTGGTCCAGTGGACTGAGTGCCTAACCAAAGGGTTGCGGGTTTGAGTTCCAGTCTAGGACACGTGAGTGGGTTGCAGGCCAGGTCCTGGTAGGGGGCGCACGAGGAGCAACCACACATCGATGTTTCTCTCCCTGTCTCCCTCCCTTCCCCTGTCTAAAAATAAATAAAATCTTTAAATAGAAAAGGAACTGGAGAAGGGAGCCCTCCTCATAGCCCAGCGGCACGCTCGCAGACCGGAGGGCTCACCCGCCTCTCCACCCTCACGACTGTAGAGCACTGAGCTAGGAGTCTCTTTAGTCTTTGCTCTGGCGTCGACGGTCTCAGTGACATGGGGCAGGTTTTGCCCATCCTCTCTAGGCCTCGGTTTTCCCTCTTATGAAATAGGACGGCGCATCCAGATCTCCGGCCTCATAGGAGTGGCCTTGGGATACATGGAGAAAAGGACATGACAGTGCTTTGGAAACTATGAACCTAGTGGAGTGAAGGGTAGGAGGGGTGCAGAGGACACGGGAGGAGGGGGCAGATGGCCCACCTGTCCTCCCTGGTGGCTGTGGGAGCCAGCACTGGAGGCATCTTCTCCCAAGGGCGCGCTGTGACAGCTGCTCCCACGGCACGGCTACAAGTCCCACCCTCCTCCGAAAGAGCTGGAAGAGGACTGTGTGCTGGGGGGGGGGCACAGGGGAGAAGAGGCCGCAGAGCTGGGGCTCCCTGTCCCACACCTGGCCTCAGTGGCCAGCAGCAGGGAGGGTCCTATCTCTGCCTATCCAGGTCCAACTTGATTCCTCAAGCCCAGACATCAACCAGTGCAGGGATATGCTATGGTAACCATATCCTGTGCTTGCATACCTGCAGAGATGGGGAGCTCACTACCACTCCCCCCTGATCTAGCTGCTTGTCCTATTGCTGGATGGCTATTAGAAAAGCCCACACCCACTGCTCTCACCTCTGGCCTGATGAAGAACATGGGTCACGTGATAACGACAATGCCCTGGAACTATGTGGGGCACTGGCTAGTACCAGGGAGTCTCTAGGTGTGCTCTTGGCAGGTGAATGAATGTGCTTATTTATTGATAATTTCTGCAATAATGTGTGCAGTAGATATTATTATTCCTATTATTCTGAAGTGAGGAAAGAAGGCACAGAGAGGTAGAGTCACTCACTCAGTGTCACAGAGCAGTTAGGTAGGAGGGATGGAATTTGAACACACATCCTTGAGACACTAGGGTCGTGCTCTTACCCACGGTGTTGTGTTGTAACACAAAGAACAGCCACAATGGTGATATCTCACTCGGTCACTTGCTAGATGCCCAGTGCCGTTCTAAGTGTTGTGCACATACTTACGTATTTATTCCTTACACAGCCCCCAAGGGAGATACTGTTATCACCCCCACTGCATGAATGGGCATATGGAGGCCCAGGCTCACCCAGCTGGTGAGTGGCCGAGCTGGAGCCTGAGCCCTGGGGCAGCCCAGCCCTGCGCCTGGGCCCCGAGACCCTCCCCGATGACAGCTGTGTCTGTCCCGGACTCCGCGTTCCCAGTCCCTCCGGGATGGAGCTCCCCGCTCCTCCCGCCCTGCTGCCTCGGTGGGATTTCCTGAGGGGGTCTGGGTGCAGGCTGCCTGTAGGGCTTCAGCACGCAGACCTGTAACCACAGGGCTCCTGGGGGCCAGAGTGGCGTGTGGCTGAAGGTGGGGACCTGCGCAGTGTGCACCGTGGGACCCTGCCGGGTTCTGGGTCCTCACGCCTCACGGTCTTTGCATTGAGGGGCTACAACCAGCCTGGGATCAAGTGAGGGTGCTGACCTCACCACATCCTACCCTGCCAGCCTCAGTCTCCCCCACTGTGCTATGAGGTGAAGTTTTTTTGTGGTGTGAGGGAAAGGCCGGAGTATCTCCAACTGGTGTTCATTGGGGTTATTTGGGTTATTCCCTCCCCACTGTTTTCTCACATGGACCTAAGGGATGGGCCGTGGTGGCAGATGGCCCTGAGGACTCCAGCTTTGTCACTTACTATTCTGTGTGGCCTCAGGCAGGTCCCTTCAGCTTTGTGACCCTGACTCGCAGGTCACCAGGAGATGGAGTGAGGTCACACAGTGTGGCACCGAGGGCAATGCTGGGCAGTTGCCACCACATCCCATCACCGGGCACCCCCTCTGGTGCCGTGTCTGGAGGCTTTTTGGTCTTTTCCAATTGAGCTCTTCTCAAGCCAGCTGGCCCCTCCTGACCTTGAAACCAGGAGCAAAGCTTGGGAGATGTTACCCCAGCCTACTGGAATTGTTCAAACATACCTTGTTTGTGTTATCAGGCAGAGAAGAGGGGTTCAGTGTGGGGGCGAGGGATGGAGCAGCTGGGGTGGGACGCCCAGACCCTTCTGCTGACCACCTGCCCGTCCTGTCCTCTCACCCAAACGCAGGGCCTCCTCAGCCTGCCCATCTGGGTGCTGATGGACGAAGACGTCCGGATCTTCTTCTATCAGTCGCCCTACGACTCGGAGCAGGTGCCCCAGGCTCTCCGCCGGCTCCGCCCACGCACCCGGAAAGTGTGAGTGCCGGGTCCTTGCAGCCCCACGGGCCAGAGCAAGGGCCCCTGTTCCTAAGCAGGCACTCCAGCTCCCTCTTTTCCCAGGAGGAAGGGAAGGAGGAGAGGTTAGTTCTGTCCCACAGGAAATAATCACTGAAACTCCAAGCCACTGAGATGGCGCTGGAGCCCAAAGGCAAGCTTGCTGCTGCCCGGAGTCCGGGGGCGGTGCTCCTGGGCCCTGACCTCCCCACCCACTCCCCCTCCTTCCTCCAGCCAGCACCCCCAGGTGCCCAGCCGTCTCTCCTGAGCACCCAGACAGGAGTTCATCCCAGCCACATGGCAGCCCTGGGCCCTGGAGCAGCGCGTGTCCCCTCTCCAAGCCTGCTATGTTAGGATGGTCACGTGACTTCAGCGGCTGGGTGTAGGGAGCAGAAGGAAGGACAGGTGTGAAGTATCTGGCAGGTTATGGCACTGATTGGACGTCCCCACGCCCTCCTCTCTCAGCTTCTGCTCCCTGGTCCCAAAGTGGGTACAATCTCCCCTCCAGGGGCCGAGCGTGATGCCCCAGGAGCAGTCGTACCTGCATTTTTAGTGTCCTCTCCCTCCTGCCTTTCCGGCCTCTGTCTCAGAAGCAGGGAGCTGGGCCTGAGAGAACCAGGGGGCTGATGGCTCCTCTTTTCTCTCCACAGCAAGAGCGAGTCCCCACAAGGTGCCACCTTAGACCGCCTGGAAGCTCCGAGAGCAGAGGTACCTGCAGGCCTGCCCCTCCCCACCCGAGCCCCTCCTGCTGGGCGTTGGCTAGCGTCTAGGACTGGGCTCTACCTGCACCCTCAGCCTTGGGTGCCGAGGAGCCCAGCCCAGCTGACAGCGGGGGAATATTGCACACGCAGAGGTAGAAGAGAATGTGTCCACCCAGCACCCATTCAGCCAGCTTTCCCGGCCCTGCTGGGCCAGCCCTGCTTGGAGGGGACACAGACAAGCCCTGTCCTTTAGGAGCCCACAACTCCCTGAGGACACACACATAAAGACATGCATTTAGGACCCGGCGTGGTCAGTGACGGGGGGTTGTGGGAGTGCCGAAGCCCACACAGGCCTGGGGGGCCAGGGGGGTGCGGGGAGGTTGGCTCCTTCCCTTCCATCCTCATCGCAGCTGTGGAAGGAGCACCCGCTCTGGAGTCAGGGAGACCTGGGTTCTAATCCCAGCTCCTCTGACGACTAATAGAATGGCCTCAAACAAGTCACTCATTCTTCCTGAGCCTCAGTTTTCTCACCTGTTAAATGGGATGTCAAAGAAAGCACTTTAGCAGAAATTCTGTGGATGTCCCTTCCTCCTGCCTTCTTACCATACTCCTCTCTCCAGGCCCTGTTTGACTTCACCGGGAACAGCAAACTGGAGCTGAATTTGAAAGCTGGAGATGTGATTTTCCTTCTCAGTCGGGTCAACAAAGACTGGCTGGAGGTGAGTTTGGAGGTGAGGGCGGGGGTGAGACCGTTTGGGTCTGGCGAGGGCATCAGGAACAAGGAAGGGCAAGAAGGACCCGAGGGAGGGGGTGCAGTCCGGGGGCGAGAACTCTGCAGCCCGGGCGGCTGTGGCAGAGCCCCAGGAAACACAGACGCTGGGGAGACGGACAGGCGTGTGCGTGGTGAGATGCATTTCTCTGTCTACGACGAGGTTTCCCGTCTGCGGCACCGCGGACACTGGGCCAGGCCCCTCCCCGTCGTGGGGCGGGCCGGCTCGTGCAGGGTTCTCAGCCACAGCCTGCTTTCTGCCCACTAGATGCCAGCCGCCGCCCTTCGGTGCCGCGGTCAACTTTGTCCCTGGGCGGCAGCCGAGATGCGTGCGCTGCTCTGTGACCTGGGATGGTGACATCACTGCTGTCACAGGCAGCAAGGCAGGAGCAATGAAGGGCCTGGGCTCTGGAGTCCGCCTGTCTGGTGTCTGTCCTCCTTCTGGTTTTAACAAGTTTCATGACTTGGCAAACTTGCTCAACCCCGTGGTTTCCTTTTCTGTAAATGGAGGCAATGCTGCTGTTACTTCACGGGGTTCCGGGAAGAGAGAAATGAGGCGTAGCTGTTTGGGTCTCCGCCCACAGAGACTCAGCCTGGGTGCGTGGCGTCTGGCAGGGGCCAGGGCCATTGGGAGAGTTAAGTTGACTCTGCAGCCAGGGCCTGTCATGTGAATTGCTCTGTCCCCGCAGCCAGCAAGTGGGGCGCATGTCAGGGCTCCCACAGTGTCTCGGGAACAGACATGGGAGGTTAGGGGCTGTCGTTCTTAAGTAAGATTCTCTCGGGGTAGTGGTGTCCAAAGGAGGTCGTGGGGTAGGTCCCCAAGGGAACACTAAGGGCTGGGCAGGGTCCCCGGCATCCGGGCCAGGAGAGGGACAAGGACCATCGGTCTCGCCGACTTGGCAGTTTTGATTTTCCCCCTGTCCTGGAACTCTGTGTGACAGGTTTTTATCAGCTCTGACAGATTCCCGAGGGGTATCTCGGGCCATTCTTCAGGAACAGGAAATGGTTGTTGCCTTCCTGTTTTCTGGAAAGTTCTTTGTGTCAGTATGCTGGGCAACTCTGGCCTTGGGTTGAGGGGAGAATCGGGCGAGACGCAGAGACTGCTTTGAGCCTGTTTCTACGTCTGTGGAACAGGACAGAAGCGACGTCCTCCCTAGGGCTGTGAAGAAGATGACAAAGGCGCGTGCAAAGCCCTGGCAGTGGCCGGGCCTCGGGCGAGAGGCCTGGGCGGCAGAGGGAGGTTTCTGGCCATTTCGTGTGAAGCGGGGGCTCGGCGGTGTCTGGGGAACGAAGGCATGAGTGGAGTGGGAACCGCACCCCTTCGCCCTCCCCGGTTCTATTTTCCACCCTAACACCCACCGCCGTCTGACTCAGCACGGAGTTCACCCACGTACCTGCACATCCTCACTTCCCATCACAGTGGAAGCTCCACGGGAGAAGGCAAAGGGCTTTCAGCCACTCCGTGTGCCCAGAGCCACCTGGTGCTCAAGAAATCTCTGAATGAGTGAATGAGTGAATGAATGAAAGATGATAGCAGGCTTTCCGATAAGTTCAGATCTCCAGCTATTCTAAAACGGAACTCCCCTTGGGGCGTGCGGCATGGTGACCTCTGTCACTTCTCCTCCCGCTACACCAGGGAGCCCAGACCTCGCCTGCCTTTCCCGGCCGTGATGAAGGCATGGGCGTCCTAAGCTGTGGTGGTCCCGCCTCCCTCCGCACTGACAGTGCTGCCCTTTCTTTCCTCCTCAGGGCACCGTCCGGGGCGCCACAGGCATCTTCCCGCTGTCCTTTGTGAAGATCCTCAAGGACTTCCCCGAGGAGGACGACCCCACCAACTGGCTGCGCTGCTATTACTACGAGGACACCATCAGCACCATCAAGTTCGTGGCCTGTGGGCGGGGCCGGTCCACCTTCCTTGCCCATCCCCACTCCCACCTCCGTATCACGTTCTGGGGCCCAAGACCCCAATCAGATATTATGTTGCCCCCCAGCGTCCTCCCCACACACACGGAAAGCCTGCAGTGGCCCCCATTGTCCTCCAGATAAGCCACGACAGGATGCCAAGGTCCATCATGGCCTGACCAGGGTGGTTCTCATGTCCCCCTTCTGGCCTAATGCCTCCTCAGCCATTCCCGTTGTCCCCGTAGGGACATCGCCGTGGAGGAAGACCTCAGCAGCACGCCACTCTTCAAGGACCTGCTGGAGCTCATGAGGTGAGGGGTTGGGGCGTGGGTGGGAGTCGGGGTGGGTCCCATCCCCTGGAGCAGCGACCGGAAGGAGAAATAGGCGGCATCGAGGTGCTGTCTGCGTCTGGTTGGCCTTCGCGTTTCACCCACAGCCCAGCCCTGCAGAGTGGGTGTCAGGGCCCCGGATTACAGTCGAGGGGGCTCTGCAGGGAGGTCCAGGTGCTGGGGGAGGCCCCACAGTTTGTGAGCACAGGTGTGCAGTCGGAGCTGAGGTCTCTGTAGGTAACAACCCGAATCTGGGTCCCCTACCACCCGGGAGCTGCCAACTCCCAGGACCCAGGTTGGACGATTCTTCCACAGAAGGGAGAGGAGAGCGCTGTTCCCTTCCTGACTCTGCCAGTAATGGCTGTTCATGTTTTTATAACTGTCGGAAATCACAGGAAGGGATAGACCAGTGAAATCGCCCCGTAGCTTTGCTCCTCCCACCATCTGACGTACACTCAGATTGCTTTAGGGCTCACCCCGCCCCCTGCATAAATATCACTTTAACTGGCTACACAGTATCATTCTATGGATGCACCTTAATTAATGGGACCATCCCTTTTCGTTGGCCTTTTAAGTCATCCTCCACTTCCTACCATAAATAACATTGTGTCCCATGTTTGGTGACTTGCCCGATTATTTCCTTAGGATGAGTTTCTAGAGGTGGAGGTGTGGGACCAAGGTGCTTGCAAATCATTTATGTTTTCCAATCATTCTGTCAAATTACCCACAGAAAGCTCAGACTGGCCGTCTGCCTGTACCCCCAGGTAGTAAGGGTGCCCATCTGCCTGTACCCCCGGGTAGTAAGGGTGCCCGTCTGCCTGTACCCTCAGGTAGTAAGGGTGCCCATCTGCCTGTACCCCACATCAGCTCGTTCCGTCATCTGCAGCCTCACACAGGTGTCTCGTGGGCTTTATTCTGCTCTGCTCTGGGCCTGGTCGAACCCACTCCTCTTCCCCACGACCGTTTCTGAGTGTTCACCACACTCTACACAAGACATTTCGGGCTGCGTCACTAACTTAATGTGGGGTTCCGTTCCGCTGCGGGTCTCAGTTTCCCCCTCTGTGCGGTGGGAGTGGGACCATGCAGGTGATAAGGCCTGTGTCCAGCTCTGACTTCTTCTGACATTGAGGCCCAGCCCCCGAAACTCCATGGGCCCCACTCTCTGCCCCAGGGCTTAGGCCTAAGGCTGCTGTGCTGCTCGCTCACCCCGACCTTCCCCACCCAGGCGGGAGTTCCAGAAGGAGGACATTGCCCTGAATTACCGGGATGCCGACGGGGACCTGGTCCGGCTGCTCTCGGATGAGGATGTGAGGCTCATGGTGAGGCGGGCCCAGGCCCTTCCCTCCCAGAAGCGCCTCTTCCCCTGGAAGCTGCACGTCACCCAGAAGGACGACTACAAGGTCTACAACACAGTCCCCTGAGCAGATGGTGTCCCTGGGACAGTGAGGGGACATCTGCAGAAACATCCATTTGAGAAAGATTAAACAGACCTCAAAATGTCTGTCCACACAAATCCGATTGTTTGGCTTCTAACGTGTTGCCCAACCAGACTCATGGAGAGCTCCGGCTGCTGCGTAACAACCAGCCCCTACACAGGACACACCCTGCAAAGAGCCTCACCAGACAGAGGGGGGTTCCCCAATGGCCTCCCACTCTCCCCCTCCCACACATGGTCAGGGCTGTGGCCAGAATCCTCTTGGCCTCATTTCAGAATTGTTCTGGGGTGCAGAGGTGATGCTGCTGTTGGAATGCTAAGCCCTGGGGAGGCGCTGAGGTGGGGAGTTGGGACCAGGGCTCCTGTGCGAGGTCAAGACGATGAGGTGATCCTGGGACAGTGACAGAAGCAGAAGAAGAAAAGTGTCCCCCTGGAGTAAAGTGTTCCCAGTTTAGGATGATGTGAGTCACTCAGATTAAGATGAAGCAAAAAGCTTGTTGTCAAAACCAACAAATTTCTGTGAGTGAGAATAGACAATAACAATAAACAATTGCTTTAGAGTCCCAGGGATTATGGATTATTGAACGGCATGGCTACAATGTTTAAAGAAATAAAGAATAAAGTCATCACAATAAACAAGCTAACAAGAATGACCAGGCAGGTTTACAAAATAGAGATAGAATATATGTAAACATACAAGTGTGTAAACATACAAGGGTGTACACTGACACATATACCTGGGTGTAGGAGTATGTGTGTGTGTAAATCTATTGAAACAGAAAACTCAGTGGATGAGTCGGACAGTATATTGCACACAGGTGAAGGAAAAAAAAAACTGGTGAGTTGGAAAATAAAACCAAAGAAATTACCCACAATATAATTCACAGAGACACGTAGTTAGAGAATATGAAAATGAGGTTGAGTTATGAACAGCACAATGAGAGTTCTTTTAAAATCAGAGTCTCGGAAAGAGAAAATATAGAGTGTGAAGAAGAAGCAATATTTGACTAATGGCAGATGTGATATTTCAAAAGTAATGAAAAACCGAGATCTGTGGATACAAGAAGCAAGCCCGGGCACGCAGGACCAGTAAAAACTGGTGAACAACTGGCTACAACATTTTGAAACTACAAAACACCAAAGCCAAAGAGAAGATCTCAAGAACAGTCAGAAAAAGTTGAGATCATTACAAAATAAAAACAATTAGAATGGTAGCCAGACTTACCAACAGCACCAATGGAAGCCAAAGTCAATGTAGTTATAGCTTCAAATTTTTGCACCAAAATAACTTTCAATCAAGAATTATAAACTCACGTCCTAGCTGGTGTGGCTCAGTGAATTGAGTGTGGCTTGTGTACCAAAGGGTCACTGGTTCAATTCCCAGTCAGGGCACATGCCTGGGTTGCAGGCCAGGTGCCCAGTAGGGGGCTCATGAGAGGCAACCACACATTGATGTTCCTCTCCCTCTCTTTCTCTCTCACTTTCCTTCTCTCAAATAATAAATAGAATCTTTTTTTAAAAAAAGAATGACATACTCAGTAAAATCATCTTTCATTAGTGAGGATGAAATGAAGACAAGTACAGATAAAAACTGAGAACTAGAAGCATCTTTAAAGCACTTCCTTCAAGAAGAAGGAATGTGAGTCCTTCTTGAAGACTAAATAGACACAAGAACAAATGATAAGCAGAGACAATGGTGACTTCTTTGCATTGTGGATTTGTACTGGTGGGTTTGGAGTCTGTTGACTCAGCCTGGCTGCGACTCGATTTCCAAGAATTCCCTTTCCTGCGTGGGTCCAGATTGGCGCGGGGGACCGGAGACACTTGGTAACAGATCCAGAAGGCAAGAGCGAGGCCGCAGGCAACTTCTCCTTAGTTCAGGTTGGAGATTCTGTTTCAACTTGCGGCCATTGTGGTAAACATTCTGACTGCTGCTGCTGGTTCACATTCTGAAACTTCAGAACACGGAGGTCGAAAGATAAGGTCTTCGGAGACCCGCAAAGAGTGACACTTTGAGTGATGGGCGGACCTCTCAGTGACCTCCTGGAAGTCAGGCTTCCGCTCCTGTGGATTCTCCTGCTCCTGGGCTGGCTGTGCGTTTGCCTGCGTGGCAAGGCCACCTGTTTCTCCCGCAGGCCACCCTCCCTGGAGCCTCGGAGGTGGTGAGAGACTGGCCTGGTTACAGTCTGTCTTTGTGGTTCCCGGTCACGCCTGCAGGTGACAGTGTGTCTTTGCCTCTCTCACTTCACGTGCATCTGCCATTTCTGCCTGTCTGGCTGGCAGACCTCACACAGATGCAATGGCATCATGTACATGGTTTAACCAGCCCCCATGATGAGGGAAGATTGAACCCTCAAAGCAGAGCTCTTGTTGCGTCTTTCCCAGCAGTTCTGCTTCTCTCATCCGCACGTGTGTAAATTCAAGCAAACAGTCTCAGGACAAAGTAATCGTAGCGTCTAATTTGTCCGGTTAAAAAAAAAGGCAGAACTAGAATACTGGATGACGATGAAAATAATAATAATAATAATGGCATTGGGCAAGGCAGAATTAAAATATTCTAAGGTGCTTATGTTATTCATAAGCAGAGTTACAAAAAGCTGTTAACTATTAGACTGCCAAATAAAATGCACATAGTAAAATTTCGATGAAAGTAATTCAAAGAATAGAAACAGAACATATGTATTTCTTAATATTTGGATCAGAATTGGTAAGAAAGAGAAATCCATTAAAAAAGAGGCAAGAGAGGGAAAAAAGAAGGATTTAAAAGGTTAGTTGGTACAAATAGATCAAAGTGCATATATGTCAATAATTTTGATACTGTGAAGATACATGGACTCAAAGCACCGACTAAAAGATTGTCAGATTGGATGAAAAAAACACGTCCCCGTAAGGGTCACACACATGGGGGACACAATGTGAGACATGGACACACTGGAAGTAAAGGCATAGAAAGTATATTTCTGGCAACTACTAAGTAAAAGGCAGCTTGGGGGGCAGCCTGTGAGACTCACAGTCTATTTTTGTGTAACCTTGGCACCAAAACTCATTTAGTGACAATTTTTGACCCTACACTGAGTACTTATGCTTACCAGCCATGCTCGCCGCTGGTAAGCAGAACCGCTCGCTTGCGGTTCTTTTATATTTTGTTGCTTTTAGGGAATGCTTTTTGACTTTATGCTTAATTGAAGTGAGAAAATCCAACATCGGAGGTGAGAATGATTTTACTGATTGCAAAGCTGCTGAAAACCGCAGCCGTGGGTTTGCTGTTTCCCGACAACAACCTTGACACAATCGGTCGACCTCGGGAACGCGCCTGCTCTGCAGGGCAGCTGGCCAGGGCCCGCCGCCCGGCCCCCTGTCGGCCGCTCTCAGTGCCGGCTGCTGGGGACACACACAGGACACCCTTGGAGCTGCCTGGAACAGACCCACGGTCCCCACCTTTGAAGAGCGCTTGCTGCGATTTACTGCCCACCGTCACACGCAGGAGACGGCAGGAGTAACCAGAGACAGGCTCTCTGACCCATTAGCAGCCACTTGGTATCGCTGGCACCAGCGCAGTGCTGGCAGTCTGGACTGGAAAACGCCCGTCGTTAGATGCTATCATCATCCCCGAAAGCTGCCATGTACCTCTCCTTCCTGAACTTGAGAAAAGCAGTGTTTCAGCTTTTATTTCTCCCCAGTGGGATATGTGTGTCGCAGCCTGAACAAAGAACTGGAGAGCGAGGATAAACACTTATTTCAGGCTGTGTACTTGCTACAGTTCCACGACTTCCCGAAAGAGTGCAGTCGTAAGAATGTTGTTTACACAGTTGCCAGTGTTTGGAACGATGCTGACAAAGCAGCCTTCGCAAAGGACTGACACAGACTGTGTCTACGAGAATGTTTGAAAAATGAACCTGCCCATACGAAATTGGAAGACTTTTTCTGTGACAAACGAAAAGATGATATAAAACTTCATTCGTGCAGAAAATGTTTATCAGCCAAATGTATGAATAAGTTAGAGGGGCCAGCTGCAGGAAAATGCTGAACTCTGGGGTTCACCCATCTCTCCTTCCTTGCGTGATGGGGAAACTTGCTGAAGGGGTGGAAATGCAGGTAACAACTGCCTGGCAATCAGGACACCAGTGAGGATGTGAACACAGATGAAAAGTCTTGCTGGTAATACGGTGACTATTTGTGATCGGTTAACAATTCACAGTTCATAATGAGTAGAAGTTAATGGCAAATTACCTAATCACAAATAGACTTCTTAGGTAGAAATCTAAATTAACAGGGTACATCCCAGGATGAACTCATTAAAAAAGAATCAATTGCAGCGCTGCTGCTTTTTCATTTGAGAACCCTGCTCCTGACCCATAATCAAACATCTAATAGGAAAACCGTAGCCTCCTCAAATTAGGGTAATTCAAGGAGGGTTTAATAAAGGAGCTACGTGCAGGGAGAGAGGTGGTGTGTAGGAAAACAGCAAAGTGTAGTTCAATATTCCAGAGATAAAACTATGGACCTTTCGCCTTCCTGGGTCCATGGGAATAAAGATAAGTCCCTTTAACATTTCATATAATAAGGGCTTGGTGATGATGAACTCCTTGAACTTGACCTTATCTGAGAAGCACTTTATCTGCCCTTCCATTCTAAATGAAAGCTTTGCTGGATAGAGCAATCTTGGATGTAGGTCTTTGGATTTCAAGACTTGGAATACTTCTTTCCAGCCCCTTCTTGCCTGTAAGGTCTCTTTTGAGAAATCTGACAGTCCGATGGGAACTCCTTTGTAGGTGACTGTCCCCTTAGCTCTTGCTGCTTCTAGGATTCTCTCCTTCATTCGAATCTTGGCTAATGTAATTATGATGTGTCTTGGTGTGTTCCTTCTTGGGTCCACCTTCTTTGGGACTCTCTGAGCTTCCTGGATTTCCTGAAAGTCTATTGCCTTTGCCAGATTGGGGAAGTTCTCCTTTAGTATTTGTTCAAATAAGTTTTCCACTTGTAGCTCGTCCTCTTCCCCTTCTGGTACCCCTATAATTCAGATGTTGGAATGTTTAAAGATGTCCTGAAGGTTCCTAAGCCTCTCCTCATTTTTTTGAATTCTTGTTTCTTCATCCTTTTCTGTTTGGTCATTTTTTTCTTCCTTCTGGTCCACTCCCTTAATTTGAGTCCCAGTCTCCTTTCCATCACTACTGGTTTCCTGTGCATTTCCCTTCATTTCAATTAGTTTAGCCTTCATTTGTTCCTCTAATTTGTGACTAAAATCAACCAGTTCTGTGAGCATCCTGATCACCAGTGTTTTAAACTGTGCATCTGATAGGTTGGCTATCTCTTGGTTCCTTGGAAGTATTGGCTCTGGGGCTTTGAGCTGTTCTTGAGCCATAATGTTTTGGTCTGTTCATGCCTGTTACGTATGAGGGGCGGAGCCTTAGGTGTTCACCAGGGCGGGGTGACCCAGTCACTGGGTTGTGACACTGTATGTGGGGGCGGGGTCAGAGAGGGGCAATGGCATTTGTTCCTCTCTCTGGGGTTTCAGTCCCCTCTGCTGCTTCCCACAAGCAAACCGGGCCCTTCTGGTGCTGGCTCCTGGGTGTGTGGGCCTGTGCATCCTCCAGGACCCTGTGGGTCTCTCCAACAAACTCTCTGTGAGCCTGAGAGCTACTCCGGGCAA